TATATATATATATATATATATATATATATATATATATATATATACTTTTTTTTATGTTATATTTTTCGTATGTATGTATATATGTATGTGTGTAACGTGTGCGTGTGCGCATGTGTGTGTATGTATTATGGAAGCGCCGAAGATACTCGCACGAGATTTTTGAAACTATTAAGATTCAGACGTATGTGGGAAAACGAGACGTACATATCGGACTCGCGTGGAAATGATGTAATTTGTTGTCATCCATCGAACGTCATGTCCATTTTCGTATTTTCGAGAACCTTCCCAGCGATTTTGTTTTCCCATTAGCTCGGCAACGAGCTCAAGTATATAATAAGAATAGCATGTGCTGTCATCAATTCTGTTATCGCAGGCTGTAAAGCGATAAGATATACAAAAGATACGATCGTCTTATTTGGCGATAAATCTTGTCCCGTGAAGATAAATGGATATTCTGTATTCGCTGGGGGAGAATTATAGAGAAAATACGAAAGATGGAGACGGAGGTGAATTTCTCTATTCTTTTTAGGCCCTCGTGCGTCCTCGCGTGAACGTCATCATCGAGCTTTGTACATTACCTTCGAGATCCGCGACTTCGGAAAAACGCCAGGATCACACTTTCATCGCGAATGTCGAAAGTCTAAGATAGAATCGTATCTCTTATATAGCGCCTCTCGTACGTTTCGGAAATGATTGTTCCACTAAACATATCTCTCCTCTCTTGTTCCCTCTCCAAAAAACTAATGCGATCTTTACATCTCTGCATACTAAAAAATATAATTGAACTGTGAGAATGTCAATGGTACGTGAAAAAATATCCAAATACACGCTTGTCAAAATGAGATGCTGTTAATTGAACGTAAACGACGAAACGTACGAAGGGCGAGGTTTTGCCTTATTTTAGCGTCGTGGTACGTCAGCTAGGTGATCATGTGTTATGCGATATCCGCTAAAAGGTATTATGTACACGCAGTATAGTTACGGAGTAGCGTTTCACATTTATCGTACAGATAGACAATATTAACTTGGATGTATTTCAAATTGCGTCGGCTAAAAAACAATTCCTATATTTATCCTAAACGCTAGAAGGTTAACTAAATCTTAACTGTAGTTCTGTCTTACCACTTGCGCCTTACTTTGTTTGCTCGCTAACTTACATACTTAAAGAGTACTTAAAATTAATGTTCTCGCGCGTAGGCATATATATCTACGCATTAAACTCTTAAACTTACGTCGCGTTCGCGTACACCAATTAACGTCATCGTAGAAAAGAAAGTAGTGGTAGTAGTAATAGTAATAGTAGAGTAGTAATAGTATCAGTAATAATAGTAAATTACGGGCGAAAGGATCTGTATATTAATGTAATCGATTAAAAATTGGTCTATGGGCCTATACTCGACGAGCGATAACGCTTGTACAATCAAACAGTATACTCGCACAAAGAGAAATAACACAAAAAAGAAATACAATGCACATAATATATAGACGCGTGTAAACGAAAGAAGTAAAAGAAAAACAAAACATTTGCAGCCCTTTTCTCTTCGCCGGTCGATCGATTGTTCAACCATTTCTGAAAGCCGATCGCTCCTCTCCTCGAAAAGGCACGAGAAATTGTAAATTCCAAGCCTCTTAGTCTCGTATCCGCAAGCTATAAGAAATCCGTATGTCTCGTAGAAAAAACTCGTACAATGTATTATATGCGGCAGGGTTAAGAGTGAAGTCTCGAAAAGAATCGCAAGACGTCGGCCCGACGTAGAAAAAACCCGTTGCTCGTTTCCGATTCCCCTCCGGCCCTTGCGATTAATTAGCGTTTTGATCGACGCTGATTGTTAATCTAATAGTGAGGTCGGTTGTGGTCGGCGACGCAACGGGAATGACGGCCGAGAGAAGCCGCCGCTTTACTAAACAGAAACGGCATCTCCAGGTCATCGTGTATCGCATTGACGAGTAAATTAGAGGAGACGAGCGATCGTAAGACTTACTGCTTTTCGGTCTACTGAATGTACCGACCGGCGCCGTCGCTTTTACATTTTACGCGCATTACATCTATTACGAAGGAACAAAACGTCTGGGTACTCTCTGGAGATATTTGGCACAGATTAAACGGAAATTTTCAACTCGCGATACGTCTCGAGCGACACGAGAACACAGAAGAAAGGAGTCATACACGCGCACGGAGTGGGGCTTGACTGATCGCGAGTTTACGCTTCGTAGTTCCATCGCGCTCTTCTCTATAACGTACGTCAAATACTAAACGTTGCATGTGAATGTATTTTGATTAATACCTTGTTGTTGTTCGATAGTTTCCACTTTCTTCTAATCACTTCGCGCTTATCCAGTGGTAACCCCGTAATAAGTATCGAAAGAACATATATACGCGTCGTTATACCGTAATATTTTTCCTCGCGTCGTCATTATTTTCTTTATTTCCGTAACAATGTAAAAAAAGAACGTAAATCTGTATATATATTTTATACTCTTTACAAATAATATATGTATGTAATATTGTATATATGTATATCATACAGCGTACGCAACCTTACGCTAGAAATATTACCGTGGTAGTTATTCGCTTAAGTTTAAAAATGTTCTACCCATTAAAACGGAAGAAGAAACGTTCACTTCGAGCCTCGTGATTTTCTCGCGAGGGAAGAGAACTTTTCTCCAGGGGGAGAGGGGGGGAGGGGGGGAGAGGGGAGAAGGACTCATCGAGATTCAAAGCTATCTCGTGGCGATCGTCGGAAATGATCAGGAGGAATCGTTAGTATTTACATGAGATAAAGCGCGATAATGTCGTTTCGTTTTGACAACTCGACAATGAGGATCCTTTCGTCAAGCTTCAAATTTAATTCGAACCTTCACCTATAAACTATATCCGCGATTTCAAATCACTTTGTCCTTTCTATCTAAAAATCTTTCAATCGCATGCATTATTAATCCTTCTTAGCGGCCTTGTCGAGGCGAAGACGAACGAAGCGCTTAATAGGAACATACATAAAATTCATCTCTTCGTACATCTCGCAATATATCTCCCAGTTCTTTAGCGCGAAGAGTACACGTGATTCTTGATCGTAATAATCGCTACCACTTCTCCTGTTTCTGCGAACGTTTTCTTGAATCGGGTGAAAGGGATACCTCATTTTCGAATGATAAACCACGATGATTTCGCGCGGTGGAGGTGAGGATATCGTCGTTCTGAATGTGTAGTTCAGTGTACGGAGTGCGGGGTGTTATTGGATCACGAATGCTTCACCACGATCACGCCGGGTCGCTGCTGGGTCTGCTGTTGCGTATGAAATTGGAGAAAACGATCGGCGTGCAGTATCCGTTGTTTCGCGGATGCCGCCGTGGCAGACGTCGTCGACGGTGAAGGGGAAGAGGCGGACGTGGTGGTCGCAGATTTCGTTGACGTTGAGTTGTTCGCCGTCGCCTGTTGCTGTTGTTGCTGCTGTTGCTTGTTGGTCAGTGCCAATGGCACATCCTGCGCGGGTTCATCGCTGAATAAATGGTCACCCTCCAGATGACGTATCGCCTCGACGATTGTTTCCAGATTCTGTCGAGACGTGTTCGCGATGTATAACCTTGCCTGCGACGTACCATCGTCTAGGGAGCTTGATGGCGAAGGCAACCTGCAGGGTCAAGAAAATTTTCATTGCAAAATTGACTCTCATTAGATCTTGTGTATTAGGTTTCATACAAAAAAAAAAAATCGGACTTACAGTACTCTTCTGTACAAAAAAAAAAAATGCTTACATATGACGTAATGATTGTCACATTAGACGATTTAGATATTTGAAACAAGGGTAAATTAAATATCACTTCTAAAGCAGTCCTACCATTTATTGACTTAGGCTCAATCTTTTCAAATAACAATCGGGATTGATTACTTATTCGTATTTAAGGTAAAAATAAGCGCGTGTCACATACCTCTCCACCTCGACTTTAGGTTCAGCCTTCATCGCGGCCTCTAAAACGCTGGGTAGCCGTGGTTCAGTAACCGGTGAGAAGGGCCTGCTGGGACTCGCGGTGATGTACTGAGGCGAGCCAGTCTTGAAATCTGCGGAGGATGAAGTAGCGTACGTGACGCGACTCGACGACGAGAACGAATCCGCGGTAGTTGGCTCCTCCATCGCCGTGAACACCTGATTCTGGGCAAAGGCGACAATCTTGGGGGTACTCGCGCGTGACTCTTCCTCTTTGATTTCTTCCGGCACCATTTCAGCCGGCTGCGGCGACAAGGGCGGCGAGCTTGGATCCGGACTGGACGTCTCTACAGTTTGAGTGGAGCCTACCGGCGGCAAAGACATGACCGATACCACCTGAAGCGTGGCTACCGCCTCTTCTGTTTCCTGCGCCATCACGTTGTCTGTGTGCTCGATCACCTAAGAAAGTAATCGTCGTTTTTTATCTATTATCGCATGTATAAAACTTGTCTGCTTGCAATCTGTCTGTTCGCAGCGGAGACCAGATAAAATATTTTGTACACGGAACGCAGATAAAAGGGAAAGGGAAGGAAATGAATTCAATCGAAATAATAAAACGGTATACAATGTTGCAACGACCTGTTATCAGACTCGCGCAGTTATCTACGCGAACGATTAAAACAATGTTTGCAATATCTTTCGGCTGAAAAACGTTTAAATCCTCGAGGGTCAAACGAGTTTACGGTTGGATTATTTTCTGTATCGTGTACAGATAGCGATCTCTTGGCAATCGAAATTACTCGTTTTCATTGACTGCGATTTTCCAGTTAAGGCCTCTGTTATCGCTCTTTCATAACGTTTTTCACAGTTACAAATTTTATAGAGTTTCACATTACCGATTTTATCAATTTATTCTTCTTTTCCTAAAAGTTATATCGATTAATTTATATTTGCACAAAGTCCACTTTTACTTTACTCCCCGAAAGATTAGTGAAAGTAGTACGGGAATGGAATTTACCTCGTGGGGCTGATAAGCGATTAGCTGATTGTCTCGGAATCTCTCTGGATACACCTGGCTCTGAATTGCTCTCATTTGTTTCTCTAAATGCAGTCTCGCCTGACGCTCCCTATCTAGCTGTCGCTTAAGCTCCGCCACATCGCTGTTCACAACGGAATGTCCCTCTGTGGTCACTGTGATTACTGACAACGGCTCGGGGGACATGCTACCTAAACCCTCGTCACCGCTCTCGCTAACGTGCATTGGTAGACTAACGACAACACCTGTAAAAGCAGAAGAAATCAAAATGAGAGAGAAATTGAATCATGATATTCTCCTGTAAAAAAAGTGAATCGATCGATCAGTGCTTCAATAAGATTAGAACAGATCAAAATCGAAAGAATTTGAAAAATAATTAGATAAAATATTTTATTCTAATTATTTTTACTGTTTGTTCTAATTTTTCGTACCTTCCAAATCCATCGCGACATCACATAAAAAAAGTCATATACGTTAGATAAATAATAGCTGTAAAAACCAATTTTAATAGTAAAAACAACTTGACGTTTTTATGAAACTAATTTATGAGAAAGGCTCGCAAAATTGGATTACAGTCGGCGAATACCCGCAATGAACTTTCAGAACGTATTTTAGATTTCCAGCGCACACATGCCAGTGTACCAACCTGTCCGCGCGATATAAATGAATGCGAGACCGTGAGCGAAATTAAATCTGGTCACTGTTTACGATATATAGAGCAAATATAGAGACCGTTACACTTCGCGCAGATCAAAGGCCAGTCCGTTTGTTTCAATGTTATATTAAAGCGAAGTGAATGTAACGTTCCTGTATATTCACTTCATTTGCACATTATTTGACATCATAGAATGTTACGGTGAATTATAATGTGGTAACAGTACAGCAAATTGTCCGTCGTCCTTGCAAACATTTTCAATCACTCAAACATTTATTAATTAATGTGATTTCGAACGGTACCTGTGATTATCGGCTATTGGTATCAATGAGATCACAACCGCGACATCGAACGCTATTAATATCAATTTTTTTGTTCAGCCTACACGTGGATTTAAAAGAGATATGTTGTTAAATTGTTTATAAAGTTTTTAATTCATTATTTATGGTTTTATATCTTAAGAATATATATTTAAATATTAATCTCTCACTACATCATATTTAACATTTAATTAGTTTTTACTATTCATATACTTATAGGTTTAATTAGGCAGTCTATAATCATTCAAATGAAATGTAAAATTATCTTAATAATTAAAATGTTTTTTTTTTCCATTTAAATAATAATAATAACTTTATTGAGTGCAGCGGTTAAAAATACGAAAACATAGATATCTCCTATATATTTTAATTTTTCATCGCTATTTGTACAATTTGCATTATAAAAAATATTCATAAAATTATTTTAAATAAATTGCCAAGACTTCGAATTAGCTTCTTCCCCGCAGGGGTTCGATTACAAAACGTTATTCCCCATCGGGCGAATAATTATTGTAAATGTTGGGGTTGATATTTGAAGGCAATCGGGAGGGTTAACCGCGATTGATCGATAAAAGTCGGTTCGTCGACATTAAATCCGCTTCGTCGCACAGCCGACGACGAACTTTCTGAATATCGCCGTGCCATCGAACGGAGGAAACTAATTTACGATAGAACCGGAAATTGAAATTGTCTCGGCCGAAGTTCGCGACAGATACTTTCCGACAGGCACACCGCCGCGACGGCGACGGCGACGTCGTCGAAACGCCACCGGCGTCGAAACAGGAGAGTACCCTTAATTCGCCCCTTGTATTTAGTCCTCGAAGTAATAAAGACTTTCGAGGACGGTCCTGATGCTTGCCTGTCCGTTTCTCTGGACCCTTTATAATCCCCGAAAGTTTAACTTTCCTGATATTACTTTCTGAACATCTAACGATGCATGTGCAACGACATATCGTGGATTTAACAATTATTTACATTAAAATGAAAAGTTTTAATATTACTAGGAAATCCTATTTAAAATATTGAGACTCCTTTTCACTTATTTCATATCTCGATAAAAAGACAATAAAATATTATAGGATCTCCAAGAGATTCTCCTTCGCGTAGATAACAATTGAATTGAGTGTTCCACAAATCAAATTAAATTTTATGGAAATTTTTCATTTATATATAAGCGATAGTTACCTCTGGGAGTATCACCTCGTTATTATATTAAGCTTCCCTCCTGAAATATGTACATCCTGTACATCCCTTCGCGCGATATCAAGTCGCGAAGAATGTAATTACTTTCGCGAAAATGATGAACGGCTCTCTCGAAATGCGTCCGCAATGACCACATTGTCGACACGAGATTAAAAAATTCCTGCTTGCAAAATTTCCCACTCTTACTACAAAATATGATCGCTAGTATACTGATCCGGTATAAATTAGATTAGATTACTTATGAATGGATCAAAAAAGAGAAACTTTCGATTTTTACATATGTATATTGTGGCAAAGCGCGGTCGAATTTACCATAAAAGCGAAAATCCATACAGTCATGTTTATTTGAAAGTACGACGGTATTTACTTACTTTCGAGCGGAAGTCTCAGAAATGCAACAATTCAATTTCGCGATTGAGAAATAACTTATAGAAACTTCGACGTGGCGCCGTATAAAAGCGGGAAAACCGTAAAATAAGCGGATTGCAATGTATATCCGCGCAACTTTTCGCGCTTTGCAGCGACACATGGGACGTTGCAATCGCGGTCGCACGAATGATAAATAATTCAAGTCCATTTGGAAAATCACGTTATATGACGGCCGACGAACGTTAATTCTATTGCTCTTTATGTATACAAATGTTTGCCAGCAAACAATGACATGATGTTTTATTGATGCAGTTTTACATTATCGCTACGTTTTCACGGTTTGTAACGCATTTTTTTACGGGCGATATCTTTGAGATTATTTTGATAAAATTATATATTCTTTTGTAAAAAAAAAAAATATATATGAATGTTTTCACTTTTGTACAAAATAAATTTATTTTAAAAGTTGACAAAGCATTACCTTGGGTATCGGGTTTGCGTTTCTTGATAGGTACATCGCCACCTTCGTGTTGATTTACCAATCGCTTTAGTTGGCAATTTTGTGACAGCAGTTGTGTTTTCTCTTGCTCTAATTGGTATATGTATTCGGCAGTCTGTTGGAGTATCGCAGCCTATAACATAAATAAGCAGGAATTATTTCTTGCCAAATCGTAATACTTTTTCAGGTTATTACAATCTTCAAGTGTCACCATATTTTCACTGAGAAAAATATTCTAATTAAATCAACGAAAGAATCCAAAACAAGAATGAGACATTTTGTGAGACCGAACAGAATTTCTAATTATCACAATCAATGCCATTCTTGTTAGGCCCTTTCGTTGGTTTAATCAAAACGTTTTTTCAGTATAGTGTTAAAATTCGCGCTAAAGTAAATTTGTACTTGAAGTAAAATCACGAAATACGTTTACGATCAGGAAAAGAGACGTCGAAATAAAAATAGTCGAGAAGACCGGAGACAAGAACTCGAGAGAAGAAAAAGAAAAGAAGACCTCGCAATAAATCTAGAGAGATCGCGTTTATCGCAGGTGCTCCTCACGCATCACATGCAACCTGCATCGGAGAACTATCGGCCGAGGGAAGAAGAGAAGACCTGGGGACTTCCTGTTTACCGTGCCACAAGCTTAAAGGGTGGGTTGGGATGGTAAGAAGGGGACCACACTGTATGGGCCGATAACATCCGGTGGAGGCTATCGCGTGTCGTGCGTACTACGTCGTAGTAAAACGGGAATGACTTCGAAGAAGAGGCCAGCAAAAACAAAAGGGCCGATTGATACCAACTGCGCGGGGTAACGGGGCCGGGTGTACGGTTCGCACCTGCCGACAGGTGGTTAACGAACAGATGCCCCGTGTACGCTGCGATCGTAAATGCACGAATGATGATCTACCACCGCCTCGTCCTTTCTCCGAGCAGCCGGTCCTTCGCGTCACGTTCTTACGTTGAAGGAAAGAAGAAAAAAAAAAAAAGAAAAGAACATGCTCGATTATCCCCCTCGGAGATGCCCCTTCTTTTTCGGTGTTAATTGGATACCTCGAGCAATCGGGCAATTGATACGCGCAACTTTCCCCTCTCTATCTCTAACTATGTAACTCTATTACATATCTCGTATAAAAAAAAAAAATAAAAAAGTATTAACTTTAGATAAAATATAAATAAAATAAAATAAAAGGCAAATTATTAAATTATTATTTAATTTATAAATTGAAAATCTGTATATTTTATTAATCTTCGATTAACATAGTAATTGGAAATAATGAAGTGATATTTTGTACACAATAAGAATATCTGAAGGAGCTCCTTGAATTAAAATATAATAAATTATTTTATTTCAATATTTTTATAGAATATAAATTACGATAAAAACAAGCAATGTACTTTGAATAATAATTATTTAACTACTGAATTTAGATAAGAGATTTATTATAAGATATCCGAACGGTTTATTAAAATTGCTTCATTTTATCTAGTTAAAATGCAAGTAATTGAAAACGGATATGAAAAGACAGATTTAATAATAGTCATTAAATAAAATATTCGAAATAAATTAATTTTAAATTGCGCTTATTTTCACAAGTATATATATATATATATATATAATGAAAATTAATAATAGCAAATAATATATCAAAAAAGTAACACTAAAAGATCACAAGTTAGTAATCTGAATATATCAAAGTGTAACATCTCAATTATTATTTACTTTCAGTTAATCACTTAGAAGTAAATCCAAATATCTTATTTCAAGTGATCATATAGAATTATAATTTTCATAAAATATTTTTCAAAGGAACCTCAAAACAAATCGAATCGTTTTTGGTTATTGTTTTTATAATTTCTACAACAAGTATTTCAGCTCAATCAGTACAATCAGCTCATAGAGTGATGTACGATTTAAAGAATGTCTCACTTAATATCATTTTCGTTAAAAAGTGATCTAATAGGGAAAAAATCCCACTAGAAACGGAACTTTTTAAAGATAGTAGTGTGAAAGGAGACATTATATATATATATACTTGTTGGATTAAAAATCGGAATGACGTCTGTAATTGAAGATCGTAAATCAACTTGAAAAAATGTTGTGTAATAAAGATACGTGTTGATGATAAAGAGATAGTCGATAGAGTTCATTCGCACTCGCAATATTAATTGCTGAACGCGTTTCTGAAGTCTAGCCGCGGAAGGTCGAGAGCGTCACGGCTACAACTTTTGCTTTCTCGGGAGCGGAATAAAAAGAATCTCTTGGAGCAGGTTGGCGTCGATTACCAGGCCGGAAGACCGTATCTCTCGCACGCAGCTTCTACGGTCGGCTCAGCCCAAGTTCCAATGCACGTGCCGAATTCTTGTTAGCCGAATCGCTTTGTAAAACTCGACGCAGGCCAAGGCCGTTCGCCAGCGGCGATGGCGGCGGCGATGATGGGGACGATGTTATCTACAGGTAACAGGTAACGATTTATAGATGGGACAACCTTTTCTTTCTTGAACACAGGCCGCAAATTTCTATCCGCAGCCTAATTTACATTCGCAATAATAATTCAAATTTAAATATGCATTAACAACAATTCTAAATTCACAAAATTTCCATTTTTTTAATTCAATTTTTTTTTTATATATTTATAGAAAAATAGTAATAATATTTTTCTAAACGTACCAATTTATTTTATGAAATATCGGTATCATTATTTATATGAATATAAAAAAATTCAGCACTAATTACCGCATAAAAACTGATTAGTCCTTGATTAACTTACTTTGATTGACAATTTCGAAAGTCAATATTTAATAATGAAAATATTGATAAAAATAATAATTAAATAAAAGAATAAAATTAGAACGCACGAACAGAATTTTCGGCGAATTTTTAATCCACCGATTATTATACGCTTCCGATCTCGTCGGTGCGTAAGGAAAAGTTTAGAGTACGACAGCTGCGGTTCCTCTCGCAGTCTGAATGGAATGACAATACGCCGCGATCGATGTAGAAGTGCAAGATGAGAAGGGCGAAATAATGCTGGCAGCTGGTGATCGAAAGAGAGGAAAATCCGCTGCAACGCGCGATCGCGTGCCTGAGTTCGTGACCCCACCTGCTGAACACGTTTCCACGAAGCTTACAACTCCCCTCAAATAATCGACGAAGGGATGTTGCGTATTCGTGAACAATGAATGCACGTTATTGCGAAAAAATATTTTTCCCAAAACGCGTGTAGAGAAGATATTGATTAACTTCTTTTTTCTTTTTTTTTTTTTTTAATTAAATTCGTAATTCAGCTCTTGTAGCTCTTACATTTCTTTCAGCAGTTCTGCTTCAAAACAATCAGATCGATTTTCAAGTAATTGCAGTTTTAATTGTAAAAATTCAGCAATATTTATCAATTATCATTTATTAAAGCACACTAAGAAAAAATACAGGATTTTATTAAATTTTAATAGATATTTTTATTTGAATAGCGTCAACTAAACATCTACTTACAGCAAATAAATATTTACTCAATAAATAGAAATGATAGTTGATCGAATTAATGACTTTGTAACAAAGAAATCTTTATGTTTAGTAAATATTTAGTCGGCACTATTCAAACACAAATGACTTATCAAAATTTAGTAAGTGTTTCCAGTGCACAAATGCAGAACGTATAATTTCTTTTTGTATATATAAAAAAAAAAAAGAGAGAGTACACTAAGGATACTCTGAGAGATTCTTGAAAAGACGCACTTCTACGCCGTTGTCGTGGCACGCAACGTAAGCTGTGGCATTCTACAACTGGTCACTACTACAGTCTCCTCCTCTCTCGCCCTTCCGCACACCTTTATACTCGCTCCCTTTCACACTTTCTCCCTCTTCCTCGCTCTCTCCAAGGGCTCGATTCTCCTCGTCGAGCCTTTCCTTCTTCGGCCCGCGAGAACTTTCCCGTCGAGTCTCTCCGCCGCCACGGCGATGGAATCGAATCGTTTTCTTCTTGTTGCAGCGGCGGCGGCGGCATTCCAAAACACGAACGCGCCGATGCATTCGAGTTGGGAGAAAGAGAAAAAGAGAGAGAGAGAGAGAGGAGAGAGAGAGAGAAAGAGGGAGAGAAGAGAGAACAAGACGGAAGGAGAAGAGGAAAGAGAGAACCCACCGCGAACTCGCCCTCATTCGACTACACTCGCGCGATCGTTTGTAATTCCGCGCGCGAATCCAACAGGAATTCCCCACTATCACGGTTCCCCTACGTTCTATTGTTCCCGTTTGCACCGGTGCATCCCTCTTCTCTATTGCGTCCTCCTCGACTACAAATTGCCATCGTGATTGCAGATCAATGGAAATAAAATCAAGAGATACGATAGGCAGCACGTAAGGTGTCATAATGTTGAATTAAGGCATTATTAAAAATTTTTATGCCATTAAAACGATAATATACCGCGGTATTCCTATGAAGAGCTTCAGCAAAAGAATCGTAACTTTTAATTTCATTATACATTATTACATTATACGCTTGTATAATACAGTTATCTCTGTCAATAGTGTCTACTGAAATAAAAATTGTTGAAAGTTTTTTTTATATTAGGTACGTTTGATGGTAATAAAAGGTTAAATAACTGTAATAATCGTAGAATTAATAATAATCCTATTTAAATCTAATTCATAAGCGCACTTAACTTTGTTTCCTTTCGCAGAAACGACGCGGTCTGGATTGCTGTAATTAATTGCTGTTATCGCGTCGTACATTCTACGCGCTTAATTACATAATATGCACGAACGAAAATTTTCGAGCAGGCGGAACGGCGCCAATGATTCACCGCGCAAAACGCCGCGCCACGACGCCCGCCGTTATTATTATATCGTAATTACCTTTGCTTATAAAAGCGGCAGCTCACTCGCAAACGTGTTCTCGGCTGGCGTAACAAAAACACGGGAGAGGCGTATGAAATTAACATTCCGCAAAGTAATTTGGTAAATAATTAGTTATCAATTTCCGTAAAAGAGCATCTCTCTCACTTAATGTAGTTGCTGTAAAGAGTCTCCTGCATTTTGTGCTTTATGACAGCGTAAAAAAAGAGGGAGAGGGAGAGAGAGAGAGAGAGAGAAAGAGAGGGACCGAAATTAATTATTATTTTCCATGGAAATATATTTAAGTA